ATAGTGGCTCAGAATGGCAAAATAATCTTTCAAAAGTCACACAGATTAAGGGACAGAGATAATTTTTGAACTTGAGTCAGCTGATTCCAAATCCACTTTTCCACCTTGCCTCCCAAGCTGGGTACATGCCTTCCTTGGTTTTTGTCTTAAACATCCATCTGCCTTTTTGTTAGCCTACTAAATTGATGATATTATCTTGTTTGAAAGTATAGGCATCTTGTGGCTGGTTGTCCAGATGCACATTATGGAGAAATACAGAAACAAACATTCCATATCTAGTTTTAACTTTCTCATATACATCCCTTAGTAATGCCAATATGTTGATTACTTACACAATATAGAAAGAATAAAGGAAACAAGATACCTATTTTAAGTCAAGAATTAACTCAATCCTCATAGATACGTACTTCAGTCCTCCCTCCCTCTCTCTCTCTCTCTCTCTCTCTCTTTTTAAGGCAATTGAGGTTAAGTGACTTGCCCAGGGTCACACAGCTAGTAAGTGTCAAGTGTTTGGTCTGAGGCCAGATTTGAACCCAGGTCCTCTTGAATCCAGGGCTGGTGTTCTATCCATTGTACCACCTAGCTGCCCCCTCCTCCTTATTCTTAATGCTAGAAGAGAAATCTGAAAGTTTCCCCCTTCCTGTCCTGAATACTTCTAGTCTCCTAAAAGGCCAGTTTCTGGTCATGGGCTTTGTTGCTTTGTTGTTGTTCAGTCATTTCAGTCATGTCTGACTGTTGGTGACCCTATCTAGGGTTTTCTTGGCAAAGATACTGGAATGGTTTTCCATTTCCATTTCCTTCCATTTCCATTTCCATTTCCTTCTCCATTCCTTCCTTCATTTTACAGATGAGGAAACTGAGGCAAATAGGGTTTGCCCATGGTTGCACAGCTAAGTGTCTGAGACTGGATTTGAACTCAGGTAAGGTTAAAATCACTGAGATGAGGACCTCTTAAGAAGCCATGGCAGTTAAATTCATCATAAGATCATAGAATTAGAGCTAGAAGAAATCCCAGAGATTATATAGTCCAAATATCTCTTTTTACAAGTGATTCAACCGCAGCCACGTGAGGTTCAGTGATTTACCCAAGGTCACAAAGGTATTAAATATCCAAGGCAGAAATAGAACTCAGGTTCTCTAACTGCCATGTCAATGCTCTTTCTACTCTACCAGGCTGCTTCCTCAATGACCGTTCAACCCTTTCAACATCCATAAAGCAAGCCTGGGACCTGTCTCCTCTTCAACTGGTCCAACTACTAACTCAGGGTCAAAAGGAAGAGCATGGTGACCATCCAGCCCACTTGAATTTTTATTACATTTTTTTCTTTTAAAGATGTTAAGCCTAAGGACAAAACAGGGTTTTTCTGTCCTTTGGTGCATGTACTGTAGGAAGAAATAAAGATAACTGATATTTATATGGTGATTTAAGGTTTGCAAAGTACTTTTATGTTTATTATGTCATTTCAGCCTCACAACAACTCTGTGAGGTAGGCACTGAAGACATTTACAATTGGATCAATCAGTGGACAAACATTTATAGTTAACTTATTACATATGATGTACCCTTCTGGATGTAGAGGGAGGGGAGAGGAGAGGAGAGGAGAATGCCAGAAAGAAGAGGAGAGTGGAGGGGAAGGAAAAAGAGAAAAGAAGAGAGGAGAGGAGAAGAGAAGGCAGTGAAGGGGAGGGGCGGAAAGGAGAGGAGAGTGGAGGGAAGGGGAAGAGAAGAGAGGAGAATGGAGGAGAGGGGAGGAGAGGACTCTGGGGGCCACCCATGCTCAGGGATTCTGAGACAGATGATGCTTCAGCAAAGGATATTGATAAGGAACAATAAACAGATAGGATCTAGGGTTGCCTCAGCATTTGAATGTCAGAATCCATACCCTGTGCCCCATTTTCTGTACCACATCTTTTTAGAACCTAATAGGAATTGTTGATTAACTAGTAGGCAACCTTGCCTTTCAGCTGTGGACAGCAGTAGTGCCAAACTTGACTTCTCTAAAAGGTATAAAACAAATCAAAGATGTTTTAAACACTCTCATCAAGCCTCACTCTATGAAACACTCTTTCTAAAATTAATTCGCAAATCAATTGTTTGGAATTCAGAATATATTTTCTGCTACAAACAATATTATAGATGGTGGTTAGGCAAACCTGGATGTGTTATAGAAATGTGAGTTTTTGTAAGTCTAATTATGTCCCTGGTTATTCTCCCCCCTCCCCAAAAAAGCAAATTAAGCAATAAGACACAAGACTGTGCAAGCCAGACCAGCACCCTGTTCACTACTGATGACATTGACTTCTGTGGGAAGGCATAATCTGAATTCTAACTTGAATCTTGGGAAGCAGCAGGAATGGGAGGGGCAAGTCACCAAGCTTGTTTCTTAATCTGTAAAATGAGGGAGTTGGCCTTGATGATGATCCCTCCCAGCTCTAAATCTAAACAAAGAATACCTCTCCATACCACAGTCAAAGTCACCAAGAGCTACCAGTTGTACATGAAATATTTCCCAGGCCCACAATCTGGAGATGAAGAAATATCCTTCATTAAGCTGAGGCTTTCTCTAGCAAACTGGTAAGAAGAGACCAAGGCTCCCTTTAGTAACATACTGGGTTGTGGCAAAGACAAGAACAAAAATGAAACAATTCTTGTCCTTGAGGAGCTTATATTCTACTTGATGGGCATGAGGAAAGGTGTGGGAGAGATGCAATATTTACGGAAGAAAATATAAAGTTATATAGATTTATCTGCCCACCATCCCCACTCCCAATAGAATGTAAGTTCCTTGAAGGCAGACACATGTTTTCATTTTCTCTTTCTCATCCTGAGATTAGCACATAGTAGGCTCATAAAAACACAAGATCATTGATTTAGGGTTGGAAGGCATTGTAGAGGCAGACTTGTTTGGTCCTTTCTTTTTACAGATGAGAAAACAAAGAGTCAGAGAAGATAAGTGACTTGCCTAGAGTCACCCAGCTCATGAACAGAGTTGGGATCTAAGCCCAAATCTTTCTGACCCTAAGACTTATGTTGCATCCACTCCATTGTATTGCTTGATGGATGGGACTTCATTGTTGACAGGCATTAGGTTGCTGTGAGTCACCTCTACATTTTTGTGGTACTGTCCTTATTTTAGATTGCAACATACTCTTGTAGCTCATTTAGCCTTCCTGGTTTGCAGAACTCAATATCGGAGGGTATCTTGTAGTGGCCATTATTGCAGGCCTCTAGCTTTGTGCCTCACTCATTGGCTATGTGTTTGTATGTGTGTCTGATTGCATGTACATATGGGCAAATATATATCTTCCTCCCTTGGTGAACATCTCTATTCCAGTGGATTTAATTTTTATCTCCTTGTTTTCAGCCAATTGCCATATTTTTAGTGTTGCAACACAGGCTCCTTTAGGACGTGAACTTTTGTTTGTTTGTCTGTTTGTTTTCATGTCCTGGGCACTTAGCAGGCTGGTACAGAGTAAGTGCTTGATGAATACTTGTTGAATGAATGAACGAATGGGTAGGATCTTAGATGTTTATGCTCTTTCCTTTGGTGTTACCATTTGTTCTGTATAATCCTCCATCTACATAGTTGAATCCCCCATTGGGATGTGAGCTCCTTGAAGGGTAAGAACTACTTTTTACTTTTCTTTGTATTTTCCACACTTTGCTTGGTGCCTGGTACATAGTGAGCACACAATAAATGCTTCTTGATTGGCTGATGGGTTGATTTTAGCCTCTGGCTTTGAAAAGGTGTGCATTTTTATTTGGTGATTTCATCATGATATTTCTTTCTTTTTTTTTCTTTTGGACTTAAATTCTAGAACTTAAATACACAATAAAAAACATATTACAAACTTAAATATTGAAACTTAAATACAAACATGATATTAATTTCTGATGTCTGGTGGACATAGTGAGAACATGTAATAAATATTATTTGGTGATGTTTGTGTGAGCGGGTGTAGAACACTGATGAAGTAAAGGTTCTCTCACTAATAGAGCCTGACCATCATTCATTCCCTCTTGTAAGAGACTAAGTTGTGGCTGGAGCATAGAATCCCAGAATCGTATTGCAGTTCCATGGTTGCACTTTTGTTTTTGTATCCTTAGTGTCTAGCCCATGATAAGTTATCAAGAAATGCTTGTTGATTGGTAGCGTCCATCTTAACCCCATGGCTGACTCGCCTAGCATCTCCTTTGTGCTACTGCAGAGCCTCCAAACATACCCATCTTGACTTTGAGTTGGGTGTTTCCTGAAGAGTACCACATTTTATGATCAGAACACAGACCTTTTCACTAAAATCATCTTTATCAGTGCTTTCCTTAGACAGCTGCAGATGAACCAAATTTGACACATTCTCTTTGCCTCCCCAAAGGTGATCAAACCCCAGGAACTCAAAGTTCCTAGTTGCTGTTAGATATTTTGTACAAATGGCCTTTTTATGGATTTTCAGGCACACAAAGGTGCTAAGAGAAGCCAGAGGGGAGAAAGGAGATGAAGCTGAGAAGAAGTCTAAGGTCTCAGTCCTCTGTTGCCATTTTCTGGAACTGTTCACAGAAAGGCTAATACAGGCAGACCTGCAGGAAAGGGAAGAAGGGGAAGTGGGGTGTGCGGTGCTAGTCTTTAGTTTTCCACTGAGCTGTGACCTGGTTTCTCTCCATTGCCTGCTATTTTCCTATTTTATAAACAAGACTTCAAGACAATGCCTTGCATGCCAAGTAGGGGCAGCTGATTGGACAGAAAGAATTATCTTCCTCACTAAAATATCCTCTTTGGCCTCCACCCTTACCTCAAACACACACATAGCACGCACACATATACAGCCCTTAACACCCACTTCACCTCAGACATTTCCTTTCACATTCAGGACAGTGAGACACACCATTCTCCCCCTGAATTCCTCTCCCTATCCTATTGCCTTCTTTAGGGGCAGGATAGGTTCTTGTATTTATGTGGTTTAGTATTTTAAAGTTGTTTTTTCTTTTCTTTTGGCTACCACAGCAGAATCCAAGAAGAAGAAAAAGGAAGGCAAGAAACAGGAGAAGATGTTGGACTAAAAGACAGCAAGCTGGGAAGTACATGAAAGGGACATCAGCAAACATGATCAGTTAACAGTTTTATTTACACCAACTGTAGGGGTTCTATCCTGAAGTTATTTATAGCTTAATTATACAATAGGCAGAAAGAAAAAAAAAAGAACTTTTTTATAGTAGTATTTTTTCAAGTGTAACCATAACACTGTTAGGTGCCTGTATTAAAAAACTGTAATTCCATTTAGAAATTTTTTTCTATTATACAATGAATGATTTATAAAAACTTAAAGTCAATTTTTCAAGTTTGAGTCATGCACAATTTTAGGTCTAAAACCAACCATCTCTATATATTGTTTTTCTTTTGGTGGGAGTTAAAATTTCATGATGACTGAGTAAATACATTCTCAGGTTAGGTGCCCTCCCTTTCCAGGCTAAATAAAGTTGAATTCCTCTGCCCATTTATTATATAGAGAAATGTCATCTTTTCAACCAATGAACTCTTCTTTGTTTTTAGTCAGCTAAAAGAGGAAAGGTCAGTCATCTTAAACCTTTTCCTATGTTCTGGACCAAATGCTGTTTTTTTTTTAAAGCAAAAATATTATTTTGTATTAGAAATGGTCTCCTACTTTGGCAGCAATGTTTATTTTCTAGACAAAAGAGATTTTTTTTATTTGAAAAATTACTATTAAGAAAAATACTGTTTTGTAAAACAATTCACTTCCATAACCCTCCCCAACCTCCCACCATACTGACCCACTCCCACTCCACCCAGTCTGACCTATTAGCAATGAGAATTTTTCACTTAGATTTAGTTAAAAGACTTCTGTGCATGAGCAGAAGATTTTTTTTTTTTAGTAATGTTCGTTTCCTTTACATCAGTTACTGGAAAGTGTGGTTAGTTTGGTGCTATTGGCCTCAAGCAAGGCCACATATAGGACTGGCTTTGGGGAAGAGGAAAGAATTACATGTTTAATGGAAAGACTTACAGTTGCAAAACACATACCAGTCCTAGAGTAACAATGTGAGACGTGGAAGAGTGCAAGCCCTGTGTCTATGCCAGGCTATTTGGTTCCAATAGATATCATGTGAGTGCCAAAGACCATCTGTGTAGCACCTTTATCTCTTGGCCTTGCAAGGGGCTTTTATAAAGGAAGCAGAGCTATAATTGGGAATTTAGGGGCCCAGGGAAAACAGCACAAACTGCATCCCCCCAATAAACCTTGAAATTCATGATATGCAAATAATAAAACAAGTAAGCAGGACCAAATCAGTTGAAAAGGGGGAGTTAGTTACCACAGTGGCTCACAGATGGGTGCTATTAACATTGCCTGTGAACTTGTAGCCTCCTATTTTTTTTTCATGTTAACTAGGTAGTTATAAGTTCTTAGTTATTAATTTCTTATTTCTAGCTGCAGGAGTGCATGTGTTAAATCTTTATACTCTCTAAATAGTGGTGCCCTGGAGCAAAGCCTCAATCATACCATTCCAGTTACATCTCTGAATGAAAGATTTCTCTGATTCTATGAGAGATAGAAAGTTGTTTGGCATTGGCTAAGTTCAAAGTATCAAGCTTTACATATCAACTATTCCATATAAACTATTTCCATATCAACAATTCCAATCAACTATTCTGTAAGGCAGAAGATTAAAATTATTACTATGTTTATTTTAAGGAAGGAATATATATATACCAGTAATCTTAAAAGGGCATGAGATCCATTCCCAGAATAGTTTCATCTGTTCTACCATTAGTCTGGCCCATCTCATACTAAATTCTTGGCAAAGTCCCACCTTTAGGGGGGCTGTGCTCAATTCTGCCTCTGAACTAAATGCCAGCCTACAAAATAATTAGGAAGAGATAAGGGCTATGCCTTGAGATTGATTCCCATTTAATAAAAGCAGAATGCCTTAGAAAATACAAATGATAACCAGGTACATAGGAAATGATGTCTTTTTTCAAGCCAACCCCAATCAAAGGGGGAAAATATGCACAGGGGGGAGAAGGATGAGGTGAAAGAAATGTATTGCATCCAACTGTCTGTTGGCTATTCAAGATTTCATACAACTGAATGATGGGAGTGATGGAAGGAGGTACACTACATTCTATTAGCTTGTCATTAGGATTGCTTCTCTATTAGCATTTACTAAGAGTACTGGTCAAAAAGCAACAGCTCATGAATCAGTAATGAGTCAGAACAAGACCTCTCAAGTAACAGACAGCCTGGTAAATATCCATGCCACACTCCTATATTGACAGGACATTATGAGAAGCCAAAGAAATGCAGGAGATTTCTGTTGTTTTATCTCCAGCCCTTAACAAACCATATAATTGACCCTCTGATTCTTTCCCTTGTTATGGACAAAAAAGGTCAGTTTGTATAGCAAGGCTGTAATCTCAGTTGCATATGTGTGAAATTAGATTTCCTTCCAACTGCCATAACCATTCTACTGAAACTGGCTTTCTCTGACTTGCTAAATCATAATGAGAAACCGGGGAGATGAGGAACAAAAAAGCCCAAGCTCTAAACATGAGTGATTATTGCATTTGGTGGTGGTGGTGAAACAACAGATGATCCCCACAGACCTGGGAGTCTCAGAAAACACCAGGGGAAACCCTTTTTCCAAACACTTTTCATTTCAGATCTGCTAAGCCTGGAGGGAAGGGGTGGTGATACAGAGAGAACTCTGCTAGATTTCCTTATGTATTTCAAGGGTTTCCATTCAAGTATTTGCCAGTTACCCAAGTGGAAGAATACAGTAGGCATGAGGCTTTCTCACAAAAACCTTCTGGCAAGTTAGAAAGAGAATCCCCATTAAAGGGTTCCCAGTAATCACGTCTTAGTATTCAGGAGGGGTGCTACCCCTTGACAACTTCTAACACATGTCTACTTTCTTAGTTATTCTGACATACCATGAAGAGCTATGATTCTACTTCTTCCCAATTTGTGCAGGTTGTGAGGAAGAGGGAGAAGAAAGGAGTGGTTGAAATGAGGCCCTTGTGTCAGGGCAGTTGGTAGCAAATGAGTTCCCAAAGGCCTAAGAGATTACATATAGAATTCCCAGTCTCTGCTCTATCAGAGAGTCATATAGGGAGTTGAAAAACTATATAGCCCATGGGGAAGAATCTGATTACTTAGGAAGAAGAGGAAAATTCACTTTCAAGAAGAGCTTTCTCTGGCCTCACTTCTAGGATACCATATTAAGAAATAAGGAGAAGAAAATTCCATCTCATTATCCAAGTTCAGGACTATAGGGATAAAGAGCCATGCTTAGGTTTGTTCTGGGACTGAAAGGTTGAAAGACGACTTTGTATTAAAACCTGGGTTGCTTTTAAACTAAGGAAAACTAAAGAAAAGAATGGTAGTGAGTCCTGGATAGCCCTTAATTTTTACATGCGTTTATTTGAAAGCAATTGAAATTTGGCTCTTACTGCTGTCAATTTTGATCCACAAGGGTTTCAAAGTCACTGGGGGCAATGAATGAAATCCTTAAAATAAAGGCATAGATTTCTTACCCCTCCTTAAGCATTGATTTCTAGGTCACTTCCTATATATTGTGTAACCTGAGGAGAGATGGAATTTAGTCAACTTCTGGACTCATAAATGTTTGAGTGGCCTGTGGGAAAGGCCACACAACTTTTTCCATTAAAAAAAAAAAGATGGTTCAGTTGGCCTCACCTTCTTAAGTGAAGAGTAAAGGAATTAAGGAGACTTTGTGGGGTGTGATGTTTTATAAGGGAAAGAGAAAAGAATATTTTCCTTCAGATTAGGTAGTTATAACACGCTTTCCAAGTCTGAAAAATCAAAACTTTGCTAGAATGTTGTACATGATTCTAGTTTGCTAAATGGGATGGAGGCAAAGAATTTCTCCCTTCTTAGTCTTCTTCCATAATGACAAGGGCAGGAAGTGAGTCCTGAAAGCGGTTTATCAAGGCACTGATTCCAGTTTTAAAAGAAGCTATTGATCTTTTTCAATGAGTTTGCTCAAGAGGGAAGAAGGTCCTGAATGTGTAGCAAGTAGTGCCTACCTCATACTTGTCTGGAGTGCTGGCTTCCAGGGGAAGGACAATGTGGAGGACACTTCAAAGAGGGTGACTAATGTCCCCTTGCTACATTAATATCTCTCTTTTATTGCTCCCAGTCACCCGTTATGCCAAGTAGAAACCAAAGTTAAAATATACCCTCAGGGTGACCTGGCAGTGCCTGGGCAGGGTAGCCAATGAAATATCTCAGTTCGAGAATGTTTTCATGTGAGGAAATGATGGTCTAAATGACTCTTCCACTTGAGAAGGGGGAAAAAAATCAACAGATCTTCCACTCTCTGCACCCACAACTTTGCTCTTATAGCTTAAAATAAGAAAATATATTCAAATACAAAGTTAACAGGCACAGAAGATTGATGAATCTCATGTATATACCTATTAAACTTTATAGTACCAAGGTACTCATGGGGTTGGGTGAAGTTTTTAAAATTTTTTTTTTTTGTATATTGATTGTTAGAAGCATATTATCTTTTGGTCTTTAAAATCTGCACGAAAGCCATATATCTGCATAATAGAATAAAAACATGAATAATCCTGATATAATATCCCTAATGGTTTCCTAGCCTCCTGTGATGGTAGGATGCCTTAGAGAATGTACACATCTATTGATTGTATCTACCTATTTGACTTGCTCTTAGTAGAGATAAAAAAATAAAAAAAAATAAACTAATCAAAGAGAACTTGGCTGTTGTCTTTTGACTGTCAAAACTATTGGATAGAATGCAAATTCTCTTCTAAGAGTTTTCTAAAATCATGAGAGAATTACAGTAATGCCACAGGCATTTTAAATGGTTGTGGGTTTGGCAGTCTGGAAAGGTCAAATTAATGCTTGATTCTTTAAGTGCCAAAATATTTTTATTTTACTCATTTGATAAAAATGGAAGAGTGGTAAGTATTACATAGTACCACACTATCCCAAATAGATTATGCTGAACATGATTTAAAACTTTCCTTGATGACTCATTGTCTTGGTGACCATCAGTTATTATACTAGAAATGCAGGGGATCTGGATGGTGTGGGAAGTCAATTGAATAGTGAATAGGTCCAGAAACCATAAGATACCTTAGAATTTGATTTCTTCTTCAAATTCATACTGTCAATATCACTCATCAAGGGGACATGAAGACTATGTAGCTAAATCACCTTGCATTCAGTATAACGTGGCTGCCTTTCTGCAAAATTAATGTTAAAGGCCGAGCAACCCTCTCCTAAGTGATTTTATCACCTTCGGTTTGTTTTTGTTTCTGTTTTGCTTTTTGGTGAGGCAATCGGGGTTAAGTGACTTGCCCAGGGTCACACAGCTATTGTCAAGTGTCTGAAACCGAATTTGAACTCAGACGCTCCTGATTACAAGTCCAGAGCACTATCCACTGCGCCACCTAGCTGCCCTTAGTTTTGTCACCCTCTATAAAATAATCTCACTTACCAAAATTGTCATCCTTATATTTACAAGCACCTTTTGCAGTGGTTGCATGGGGTAATTGAAAGAATTTGCTTTTGTAGTCAGCAGAGACCTGTGTTCAATTTCAGCTTTTGATACTTAGTAGGTGTTTGACCATAGGCAAGTCACATCACCTCTCAGAGGTTGATTTCTCATTGAAAACAATGGAGATGTTATCTTTTTGTGCTTACCTCAGAGCTGTTGTAAAGAACAAATAAAATGACATGCCATTTTAAAGTTGCATATTGCAAATGCATAGATATATTACATTATGTAAAAACTTGCCCATATAGTCATTAAAACCACGTAGGGCTGGCAAGCCTTGTCACCTTGCTTTTCTGCCTCACTTGCCTAAACTTATTGATGAAAGTACAGAACAAGGATACCTCAGATCAATCTGAAAACTTGGGGTTGTGTATTTAAGGAGGTGCTATTTTAAAAATGATACATTCTTCCTCCCTTTTATCATTCTCCTTTCTCCCTGCATCATTTGAAAAAAAAATATGTCTGAAAACACAATACCTTGGCCCAATTTTCTTCTAATCCTTCTTAATATTTGGCTTTTTAATAGGTCCAAGCCACACTGCACCTTTAATGTTATAATGGAATTGAAAGACTTTGCAAGGTGCCTGACAAGTAGATCAGTTCTCTGATTCTTATTAAATCTCTTCTGTGATGTTTTTTCATATTTTAAACAGAATTCTGCCTACAGGTTGATTCAATGAAGTAACACTGGCATCTTTCAAACACATGAATACACATACTCAGAGAGGTTACTTGACTTATTCATAGTTTGTACAACTTGCCTCTGACTCATTTTATCTGAGTGACCACTGACAAGTCACTTAACTACTAAGGGCCCTAGGCCATTCTTTAAGAATAAAAGTTATGCAAAGCCCAGTGACAAGAGATAGAAAGAGAAATTTCATTTAAAGTAAGTGTAGACAATATAAAACGTTTGGGTGTCTACCTGCCAAGACAAATCCAGGAACTATATGAACACTTTTCACACAAATAAAGTCAGATCTAAATAATTGGAAAAATACCAATTGCTCATTGGTAAGCTGAGCTAATATAATAAAAATGATATTTCTACCTAAATTAATTTACTTATTTAGTGCCATACCAAACGAACTACAAAAATTATTTTATAGAGCTAGAAAAATAATACCAAAATTCATCTGGGAGAACAAAAGGTTCAGAATATCAAGGGAATTAATGAAAAGAAATGCAATGGAGGGTGCCCTGGCCATACCAGATCTGAAACTGTATTATAAAGGAGCAACCATCAAAACTACTTGGTATTGGCTAAGACATAGAGTGGTGGATCTGTGGAATAGGTTAGGTATACAAGACACAGTAGTCATTGGCTATAGTAATCTGCTCTGTGACAAACCCAAAGACTCCAACTTCTGTGCTAAAAACTCACTATTTGACAAAAACTGCTGGGAAAACTGGAAAGCAGTATGGCAGAAACTAGGCATAGATCAACATTTTACACTGTATGTCATGATAAGGTCAAACTGGGTATACGATTTAGAAATAAAGGGTGAAACTATAAGCAAATTAGGAAAGCAAGGAATAGTTTACTTGTCAGATATATGGAGAAGGGAAGAATATACGACCAGACAAGAGATAGACAACATTATGAAATACAAAATGGATAATTTTGATAACGTTAAATTAAAAAGCTTTTGCAGAAAAAAAGCCAATGCAACCAAGATTAGAAGAGAAGCAGAAAGCTGGGAAACAATTTTTACAACCTGTGTCTCTTTTAAAGGCCTCATTTCTAAAATGTATAGAGAGCTGAGTCAATTTTATAAGTCATTCCCCAATTGATAAATGGTCAAAGGATATGAACAGGCAGTTTTCAGAGGAAGAAATTAAAGCTATCTGTGGTCATATGAAAAAATGCCCTAAATCACTGTTGATTATTATTTTAATGCAAATTAAAACAACTCTGAGCTACCACCTCATACCTATCAGATTGGCTAACATGACAAAACAGGAAGATGATAAATGTTGGAGATGTAGGAAAATTGGAACACTAATATATTATTGGTGGAGTTGTGAACTGATCCAACCATTCTGGAGAACAATTTGGAACTATGCCCAAAGGGCTACAAAACCATGCATACCCTTTGATCCAGCAATACCCTTTCTAGGTCTGTATCCCAAAGAGATCATAAAAATGGGAAAATAACCCACATGTACAAAAATATTTATAGCAGCTCTTTTTGTGGCGGCAAAGAATTGGAAATTGAGGGGATGCCCATCAACTGGGGAATGGCTGAACAAGTTGTGGTATATGAATATAATGGAACACTATTGTTCCATAAGAATTGAAGAGCAGGTGGGCTTCAGAAAAACCTGGAAAGATTTGCATGAACTGATTCTGAGTGAAGGAGCAGAACCAGGAGAACACTGTACACAGTAACAACAACATTATGCAATGACCGACTTTGTTATACTTAGTTCTTCTGAGCAATGCAATGACCTAAGACAATTCCAAAAGAGTCATGATGTAAAATGCTATCCAAATCCAGAGAAAGAACTATGGAATCTGAATGCAGATTGAAGCATACTATTTTCCCTTTCTTTTGTTGTTTTTTGTTTTTCTCCTTCTCATGGTTTTTCCCTTTTGTTCTGATTTTTCTTTCACAACATGACTAATATGGAAATATGTTTAATATGATCATACATGTATAGCCTATTTCAGATTGCATGCTATCTTGGGGAGAGGGGAAAATTTAGAACTCAAAATCTTATAAAAGTAAATTCTAAAATCTAAAAATAAATAAATTAATTAATTAAAAAGAATAAAAGTTACAGGTGAATAACCAATAGGGAATTTCTTTACCAGGATTTCTTTATCCCAGTGAAATCCTACATCCTCAACAAAAGCTATCAACTTCACAAGACAGATGACTATTCTCTTACCCCTCCTGAAAATGCTTGATTTGGCAGCTTTCTAGTCATAGTGCTCTCAAGTTGGTCCATTTTTCCATAAGGGTCAGTTGCAAGTTAAATTGTGAAGAATTTCTATGCATCTGCTGCAGAGGCTGTGAATTATTATCTGTATGGATTTTTTAGAAGAACACTGGAAAATTCACCTCTTAAATTTTCCATACTCATGCTGTTTGTCATCTTTTTAGGCCCTATTCTTTTGGAATATGTCATCTCCTAAACATCAGATCCAGTAGCTGTCTGGAAACTTCCTTAAAATTGTACATAATAAGCTTTATATTAGATTCCTAGAGTCCAAATAAACTATTTTTTAAAAATTATGATTATAGTTTTATGTGCAATCTATGGTTTTCAAAAATGTTGATATAACCAGTATTAGTGTTCATCTTCATCTTTTTAAAATGCATTTTTATTTATTTCATTAAATATTTCTCAATTATATTTAAAAATATTTTAACATTCATTATTTAAAATTTTGAGTTTCAAATTCACTCTCTCCCATCTACCCCTGCCAACCCCTTCAGAAGGCAAGCAATATGATGTTGATCATGCATGTCAAGTCATGAAAAAGCAAATTTCCATATTAGCCATGTTACAAAGTAAAACACATATACAAAATGAGAAAAACAAAGAAAGTGAAAAAAGTGTATTTCAATCTGCACTCAGAGTTCATCAGTTCTTTCTTTGGAGATAAATAACATTTTTCATCATGGGTCATTTGAAATTGTCTTGATCATTGTCTTTAGTAATCAGACTAGCTAAATATTTCAGTTGATCATTGTTACAATATTGTTGTTGCTGTGTACAATGTTATTCTGGTTCTGCTCACTTCACTTTGTATCAGTTCATACAAGATTTCCCAGGTTTTTCTAAAACCATCTTATTCATTATTTTTTGTAGCACAATAGTATTCCATCACAATCATATACCATAACTTGTTTGGCCACTACCCAATTGATGGTCATCCTCTCAATTTTCAAATTTTTGCCTTCATATAAAAGCTGCTATAAATATTTTTTGTACAAATAGATCCTTCCTCCTCTTCTTTGATTTCTTTGGGATATAGACCTAGTAGTGGTGTTGCTGGGTCAAAGGATATGCTCTGTTTTATAGTCCCTTGGGTATAGTTTTGAATTGTCCTCAGGAATGGTTGAACCAGTCTCCAACTTTATCAGCAATGAATTAGTGTCCCTATTTTTTCCATATTCCCTCCAGCATTTGTCATTTTACTTTTTCTGTCATGTTAATCAATCTGATATGTCTGAG